GCCTCCCAGAGTGCTAGGATTACAGGCGTGAGCCACCGCACCCGGCCTTGATATGATTTCATTCCAAACAATAATCCCATAGTGAAGAAAACTGAATTTTGATTATCGACCAGTGACACTTAGGATAGGGGCTCAGGCTGGTCTCGAACTCCTGAGCTCAAACGATCCACCTGCCTTGGCCTCCCAGAGTGCTAGGATTACAGGCGTGAGCCACCGCACCCGGCCTTGATAAACTCTTATTCCAAACAATAATCCCATAGTGAAGAAAACTGAATTTTGATTATCGACCAGTGACACTTAGGATAGGGACTCCTCTGGGTTAAGTGGGCCTAACCAGTGTCCATACAAGGCTCCTGCCAGAGTGAGTTCTCTACAACAGCAATTTTTAGATTTTTTTGAAATGATATATATTTTCTATCATAGTTCAGCATACACACAAACAAATACACATGTGTATATACATGCCTCCTTTTGAAAAATGCAACATACACAAGGGTCTTGAATCACAGAAGAAGTTATCCAAGCTGTTTAATGATGCCATATTTTGTGGCTAAATCATCAAATGCTTTCTAGAAAATAGCTATTTAGTGATAGCATATTTTGTGGCTAAATTATCAAATTCTGTCTAGAAAATAAGTGTGTGCTTTATATAGGTGCTAAGTTATTCTAAAAGTTAACATCACAAGATCTCTGAACATTTAATAGGATAACATTCTTATTTGTTATTATTACAAAGGCATTAACTTGGTCACTGTGGAACTTTAAATTTCCTTGGAGATGTAGATTTTCTAGAATCAATATACCTCCAGAGATAATAATTCAATCTTAGTTTCACTCCTTTTAAAATCTGTAGGTGGGAGATTTAACTCATTAAGGCACAGAGGTAAGAAGCTAATTAGGTCCAAGGAAGGATGCTATCCCCAAAAGCCCACTACAATCACAGACTGAACATCTGAGTCAACCTGTGTGTTGTTTGTCTCAAAAGGATCAGAATCAGGACAGTTCAGACTAAACTTACCACACAAAAAAACCTATTGAAGAATGATGTCAGAATATATAATAGGGCATTTGTAGATAGCCCTTTCACAATTAGAAAATGTACATTTCATTTCTACCCAGATTGTTCCAGAGTTTACTAATGGTGGCAAGTTTTGCTTTTCTAAAGAATGACTAGGATTCTTTGCGTATAGAATATATCCATGTGTATAATGTATCAATCCACATTAAGCACCAGCTTTCCAGAAATAAAGACACGTTAATATTTCCATATATTCTTGTTGTATTTGGAAGTGCCATCCATTTGAAGGTTTTTTTCTACTTCTTCGAATTCCTAAAGAATGGCTGGTCTACCCCTCTCCCTGTTTTTTTAGCTTCTTGTCCAGCCCAGTATGAGTTTATTGAATATATTTTTTCAATATTTGAAAGTAAAATAGGGACATATATTCTACATGTTTATAATTTTAGCATTTCCATTCTACTTTTCCAAAACATTTCAAGTAGAGGACAACTCATATCTTCTATAGTATCATAATAAAATCCTAACGACTGGAGCCTTAATTTACTAGGTGGCAAAATTGGTATTTTTGAATTTCACATTAGCATCGATATTTGATTATTTGCTGAATGACAGAATTTTATTTGTGATTTTAATTTATTCCTTAAACTGTTTGTCATTCTCTCATGCAGTAAAAGATTCTATCATCATGTAACATTTGCATCACTGAGACAATATGAAAGTTCCCATACATTTCTGGCTAGTGTCGTGAGACACATGTTTTGGCTCATCCCTATAAAATATTCAAGGCTTCTCGTTTAAGAAAACTAGATAACAGAAACATTCCAAATTTGTACATTTTGGTTTTACTGATGTATGATTATTACTGATTACACTGTCACCATGTAGCATCATGTATTGCAGATTTAGGAAGTTTTTTTTTATATATTCAAGATTAAGAGAGCAGGTGAATCATAAGGAGGAAAATTCTATTTTCCTTTCGTATCGGCTTGAGTCTGGTTGATATGAAGCTGGCCTCAAAAAAAGACAAAGAAACTTGCTGGTGGATACAATCTCACAGGCCCATCTTTGGTGCAGATCCAAATGCCAGAATGGCCAAATACCAGAAATGACCTGGTATCTTGCCCAGTGTGCCTTTTGGCCATGTTCCTCAGCGTGCATTTCCACCCAGACCTACCTGGAACCAAAATGGTCGCTAAATATCAACAGATTCAGTGAAGAACCATCTATTGAGCTTCTAATATCGGCCAGACCCTGTGCAGGCCTTGGAGAAACAGAAAGCAATAAGGCTCAGGCCCTGATTTCAAGAAATTCTCACTCTTATTAAAGTAAGTTGACATTTTTCTGAACCCACATCTCACCCCTCTCTGCTATTTGTTTATGAAAAGTCTAGAAGAATCTGCAGATGCATATTTTTTCTTCTTCTGTTTCATGTTTTATAATACAATATATAGTGACTTTTGATCAAACCTCCTACTTGCTGCACCTAACACTTTTCACTGTCAAATAAAATCTTTCATTAAAAAATATTACTATGGTACTTTATGTTTTATAGTTTGCAGACAAATCTAGTCATAGACCACACAGCTCAAGAAGCAGTTTTAAATTATTATTACTCAAAGTAAAAACTTTCCATTCTAAGGCCTCAGGCCTTTTCCTTTTAGCTTAGAAGCCATTAGCCACCCCTTCCACCTTCTTCATTCCTCTCACATTCCTGCCGCAATCCCCACTGAAGTTTCTATTCCTCCAAATCTCCTTACATGCAAAAGTCATCATTCATTGAATTGAATGACCTTAAGAACCTTCTGGCTACTAGATCATTTACAAAACTAAAGCAGTATAGCATTCATTTGCAAAGTACTTGGTAATGCTGGAAATCCAACATAAACTCAATATGCTGTTAATGCCAATACTGTTGCTATTATTGTCACCATAATTAGTAAGATGATACAAAAAGCACAATATATTATGGAACTAATGATCCAAGAACCAATTCTAATAATAAATTCTCCTTCCAGTTCTAACATGAAAACAGATAAAATTTTCTGAGTAAATAATATAAATTCTCTATTGCCTATTATATGAGTATGTAAATACCTAGCTGGAGATGGATGTAAGAAAAAATACAAATTTAATTCTTTGTGCCTTTCCTCCATTCCTTTCCTTCATCTGGATTTGTGAGCAATGAAATGCTCTGCATAGCCCCAACCACAAAAGCAGGCCTCAAACCTGCTCCCTGTGGTTCTCACAAAGCCCCGAGTGGGACAGGACTTACTTGCTGCTGAGGCAGCGTCTCAGTGAGTAGGAGGCCCCCCCACCGCACGTGCGTGAGCACTCGCTCCACGGGCCCCAGGCATCCCATAGGCCGTCCCGGTCCTCCTCGGAGCGTGCTGTCCTGGAGCTCTGTAAGAAACAAGAGGATGGTCAGCATCGTGTCCCCATCGAACCCTGAAACGTGTGTCCTCAAAGGTGGGTGGCTTGTGTGTCTGTACATGGTGGCCTTTCTGGGAATGAAAATGTGCATCAGATTCTCAGATTTCTTTTGTATATGTTTAGGGAAAGGGATATTTGAGTTTACCAATCCTAGGCAATGTCTGAAGGGGCAAGACATTGCACTAATGCAGCAAATGGAAAGGGAAGCCAGAAATAGGAATCTGGGTTAGAAAAAGATCGATTGCTTTGAAGTCACTGTCATGCTCAGGGATCAGGAGTCTAACTCTTCATGTCTTTGTGAAAAGGAAGAAGCTTCTCTCAGAGATTCTTCTGCTCTGAGAAGCTTGACATGTACATACCAAGACTGCTTTCCAAAATCTAACAATAGTGTATACAACTGACATTTTTTTTTTTTTTTTTTTTTGAGACATTTTGAGACTACAAAGAACAGGATAAACTAGATC